CTCTTCTATTTTACACTCCACAGAATACACACACACACACACACACACACACACACACAAACACACACACACAGACGGCTGATAAAGTGACGAATTATAAGAGGAGTGATATTGAGAAAGATGGTTTTTAGTTTTCAGGTTTCCCTGTTTTTACTGACAGGTACATTCCTGTTATACCTAAATTGAGGATATATAAGGATACACCAGACATAATATAATATTATGTGTGTGTATAAGTATGTATAGGATTTAATTTTATAATTTTTTCCCAATATATTTAGTCATATAGGCTAAATTATAGGGGCATGCATGAACATGTACTGCATATCAGGAATGAGTCACCCTTTATTGTATACAAAGGCTAAATGCCTATATATATATATATATATATATCTTATATGCAACATTTTATCTTTATTGAGCTTCATTTACATAAGGGTTAGAAATGGATGCAAACTAAGCACAGTACTGAGTCTTAAATTATTATGAATGAAAGCGGGAAGAATTACAGTGCATTAATAATAGGAATAGGCAGCTCAACTGTTTTATTCCTTTCCCATTTCTGTCTGACCTCCTTAAATACCACATTACATATAGACTACTGGGGGATTTATACCAGAGTTGCTATTGTATTTTTACAGCATTTATCCGTATTTAAAGCGCTAGTGCCTGTACAGGCCCCTGAGCAAAATACCTGCTATGTCTTCACACCTCTGGTTTTCTCTCTCATTCTTTTTTATTCTCTCTCCAATCCATAGTTCTCAAATTCAAATAGCTTTATTGGCATAACAAAAAGACAGACACAAGGCGACGACAGCGCTGCACTAGAAACGCTAATGGCCACATTAAATGAGACTATTATAGGATGGTGATAAAGTAATATCACTGGAGGAGTCCATTCAGCATGATGATTGTTGCCACATTAACGATGATGGTGATGATGATGAGGAAGCATTGTTTTGCTTTTTAAATAGCTTGCCATCCACATTTACTGCACCAAGGAGGTCTATAATACCTGCAGACAGCGCTCTGTTAGCATTCCCATTTCTCCCAATGGCCGTTGCTTGGTTTGAAATCTGCCATCATTACCAGATTTTTTTTGAGCCAATCACCTCAGCTCTGGAGCCAGAGGAAATGACGTCAATGTTGAATCCATCTGTAGAGCAGCCATATTTAGTGTTATGATTTCTCATTCAATTTTCAGTCTGTTTCTACGCCTACCTTTTGTAATGTCTCTAATCTGCTCCTATTTGTGTCCTTCGGTGCTGTTATTTATAACATTCCTGTCATCTCAGGAGTTGAGATTTAATGCCTCTTTCTCCATTAGTTTTAAAGTTCACTGCTTATGCTTGACCTTTTGCCCTCCATCTTGTCCGGACTTCAAATCTAAACCCACATTAAATCCATTCACATCACATAAATCTCTCTCTCCTCTGTCTTAGCTAACCGTTAAAATGCTTAAGCTAGGCGCTCTTGGCTAAATGCTAACACCATTTGAAATCAACATCAAAGTTTAAAGCATCAATCAGCTCTTTCAGGCGATTAGAGGCTTTAAAAAACAAAAGATGCGTTCACGGCGAAATGCGTCGGTTCTTAATTAGACTTCATATCCGCACAGATGATTTCATTCAGGATGTGAGAGCTATAACATCTATTTTTAGTTTGTTAGTCACAACTGACTGATAGAGGCTCTTTGTGTGGGTGTTTCGAGATGTTTTCCTTCACATCACTGTCTCCCTGTCTCTGTCTTATTGTGTTTATGATCCTCATAATGCCCTGAACGAGTCGTCTGAGCTGTCATTTGCCTGCAGTATTGCTTTTTTTCGAGGGCTTAGACGTAGAAGCCTACGGGAGGCACTGTAACTGCTGAGTCATTGAATTTTTAAGCTTCATATAAACTTTGAAAACCATTAATGTTTGATGGGAAATGTTATAGAATTGTTTTACTTGTTTCAGTGTTCTGTCTCAAATGCAATCTTGCTTTGTCATTAAAGATCTGGGCTAGAAACTAAAAGGTTGTAAGTTCAATCCGCCTGGAAATCCTTCAGTTATCACCAATGCCAGCAAGATGCTTAATAGGATAGTTCACCTAAAAATAAGTTACTCATCCACAAGAGTAGATGCAAACCTGTATGACTGCACAACAAAAAATGAGATATTTTAAAGAAAGTTGCAGCAGTTTTTGGACTTCATGTGTGGTCACAAATAAAGCTCCATTGTCCATTGGTATTAGTGTACTGATACTGTATGGATCATTACTCACACAGAATTCACTTTCAAACCAAGCAGCTTTCTGTTGGTCAACATGGTGAAATCCATGTGGAGAACTTTTTTGCTCTCACGCGAAGATCCCGATCACACAAATTCCTGTTGAAATGAATGCCAAGTTCTGTCATGAAACTCTAGATGGCACAGGCTGATGGGTCGTTAATGCAAACTGATGATATTAACAGCATTAATCTACTTGGCACAAGCTGATTGGTTCATGTTGCATATGCAGCCAATAAGCTTGCTGCTTTACATTTACAGTAAATGGCTGGTTAGCATCCACTAGAGAAGTTCGCAGCGCACTTTGAGAGTTCCTCTGAAACCCTTCACCTTCCCCAGCTCCACCTTTATAGATCTGCTACAGGTTATTCTATATGCTGCTTGTACAGCAGTAGAATGTTCTAAATACTCAATGCACCATATCTGCGTATGTTTTGGCAGTAGCAAGTTCATATACTTGCTTGCAGCAGCAGCAGCAGCAATAATCTACAACTACAGCAATAACCAACAGCAGCAGCAGCGTAGCAGATCTTTTCCGCCAAGACCAAATACATTAACATTTTCATATCCATTACCATGCAATCTTCCAAGAGTTGTCATGATAGAACTGGATTTCGTGAAATGTTGTTGATCAATGGTAAATGTGACCACACCTTTGCAATGAAGATCAGTGGGGTGCAAAACAACCATCGACTTTTGTTGTATAGACACAAAAACACTGAGACATTCTTCAGATTATCTTTTGTGTCGCAGAGGAAAATAGGTTAGACAGGTTCGCAATGACATCAGGGTTTGTAAATGATGACAGAATTTTCATGTAAACTATCCCTTTAATCCAGGTTGCAGCATTCAACATTGTACAAATCCATGTGGCTGATATGTGCATGCAAAGGGTAGCAACTTGCACATTAACCTTTGATCACTAACCCTTATCTTTTTTGTTGTTCTTGGCAGGATCAGCAATCATCTGCGTGACCTCTTTAACTAACCCCATGAGGACGGCTGAGGGAGATGGAACGTAACAGACTTTTCTTCTTTACTCTCTACTGCATTTCCACGATAACCCACCAGGGCTGAGCACAACCACAGCCCCTCGTCCACCCCAACCCTTCCACAGTCCCCCCATTCCTGTCCTCCCTCTTGCTCCCTGAAAGACCAAAACAAACCAGCAGGACCACTTTTTCTTGGTCTGTTTCCTTTGCCCTTCACCCGTGATAAAGCAAAGCGGAAGTCAATAAACCGGCGAAGCGAAGAAGGAAAAAACAAGACAGTCATGTATCTGCCCCATGCCTGCAAATGCGATTTGGGCCATGCCCGCAACTCAGAGGCCACCCACGCAATTACTCTCCTCTGGTTGACTCTGTGGATCACCTTGGCATCGTGTCAGCGCATTGATCCCGGCTCCAAATACCCCACCGTCACCACAAACTACGGCAAGTTGCGCGGGATTAAAAAAGAGCTTAACAACGAGATTCTGGGTCCCGTGGAACAGTACCTTGGCGTCCCCTATGCCACAGCGCCAATCGGAGACCGTCGTTTTCAGCCGCCGGAAGCTCCTGGGTCTTGGCAGGAAGTGCGGAACGCTACACAGTTCGCCCCTGTTTGCCCGCAGAACGTGCATGGTGTTTTACCTGAGATCATGCTGCCTGTGTGGTTTACCGACAACTTGGACGTGGCCGCCACCTACATTCAGAATCAGAGCGAAGACTGTCTCTACCTCAACGTCTATGTGCCCACAGAGGATGGTGAGTGTCTGACACAACACAGCAAAGCATTATGGTTATATCTAATAGGGGAGTAGAGTGCAACAGTGCCCATCCACATTTTCAGCAGCCTTGGTTCAGGAAATATTTTCCCATAGGGATTTTAAAAAAGTCAAGGGGTTATAAGCCATGAACAAAACCAACCAGCTACGAGGTAAATCACAACATTGCAAACTTATTTTTGAAGCAAAAAATATTTGAAAATCAGACAAAAAGACAAAACTTTAATAAGGGAAGGAACTACAGTCCCAAAAGGCATTGCAAATGAAATAATCTTAAAAAAAAAAAAAAAAGATGAGTAAGTATAGAACTATTGATATTTATTATGGATATAGAAACAATATATTTTATGTTTATTGCAAAATATGCATTATATACAAATATTATGAACATATACAAATAGGGAGACTCACCCTAATATGACATTCTCAGTGCCTCTTGGGAGTGGGCAGGTGCTAAGAAGTTATTTTGGCACAATCCTCTTGTTTGGATTCTCTGATTGGTGGAGATTGTTTTGCAGAATCATAGGTAATTTATCTAGTTAACAACCTCGTAGCTCACAGTAGGTCTGTCTTCAAAGGTTTATAAGTTAAAGAACAATTCCCCTATGGAGAAAATGAATGGGGTTTTTACTTCCGGAACCCAACTGCTGCACTCTATTGAGTAATAGAACCTATAGACATGCATTTTACATGTGCTGCATAGTAGATGCTACAATATTTAGGGATAGTTTGCCCAAAATTAAAAATTGTTGTCATTTACTCATTACTTTTTACTGTTGTTCCAAATCTTTATGACTTGCTTTCTTCTTTGGAACACAGAAGAATATATTTCAAACAATGTCTTGTTTTGTCCATATAATGAAAGTCAGTGGGGTCCAGAATTGTTTTGGACCTCACTGACTTTCCCTGTATGGACAGAAACAGTTGAAACATTATTCAAAATATGTGACCCGTGCTGGCAAAATGAGTCGGACTGAGCAAATTTTCAAAAATGAGTTCTTTTTATTTTCACATTCTCCATTAAAATACCTTCAAAATGATATATGACTTGTTGGAATCGGACAAAACATGACTGAGATATATCCGTTTGAAAGCGGAGTCAGCAGAGTTGATTTTGAGAAAAATCGAGTTAAAGTTTTCTGAAGATTCCAAAGCAAAATCACCTAGCAACGTTGCATATTTTCCTCCAATTCTTTTCTTAATAGTAATTAGCCTATACTATACTTTTAATCAAAATATAGCTATTTTTATTTTATCTTTGTTATTAAAAATTAGAACAGATGCAAGTAAACAGTAGTTTAATCAATTAATCATAATTAATCAATTAATCAATTAATCATCAATTAATTAATTATTTAATCAGCGAATGATTCCTTCTTTTCTTTTAATGTATGATTAACATTGAGACAGATCTATATTAAGACCTACTGCAATGCATGTATCTAATATAATGTTACACATCAGATTTATCCCCAACTATTAACTAAATGTTTATGTAAATGATTATGTGAATCTCGCCAAGACATTAATTATTTTGCAATAATTTACTTTATAAGGAGATCGCGTGCTTTGGGAGAGGCGCATTTTACGCACGCACTTTGCAAATGTCAGTCAGCGTGATCGTTTTTTTGTTTTCATCAACATGGGTTTAAAAATCATATTTTACTGGTTTGGACTCATGTCAGCGAGAATTCAATATGAATATTCACGAAGCTGGAATGCTGAAAACTTATAGACTACTCCTCTCAGAAAATGTACAAATAAAGATCATTTTTAGATGTTTAATTACTATTTGGAGCATTGGGTTCACTAGAAGAGGGCTTAATGAACTCATTTTTGTAAAAACCTCAAATTCGACCAAAACGGACATTTTTCACTTCTTTTGCCTGTAGCTCAAAATTAGACCGTGCGTATTCCGACTCATTTTGCCAGCACGGGTCACATATCTTTTTTTTTTGTGTGTTCTGTGGAAGATTTAGAATGACATGAGGGTGAGTACATCATGACAGAATTTTCATTTATGACTGGACTATCTCTTTAACACTACAAAGTACCATACAGTGAAAATGAAATAATTTTCTGCCCTTGAACTTTGGTGCAGCTTTACCAGACCTTGACTAAGGACATGTCCTTGCCTTTTCCCAGTTATGATCAGTCCCCTGCACTCTGGATCAGGACTTGTCAGGAATAGTTTACCCTATGATTCACTTAAAGAGTGAGGCCAGCTGGAAAGACTAAAGCATTCTGGGAAATTACTTATGCCCCAGTATAAGACGTACATTTACGACAAATTGGGGTTAATTGATGGAGAGTTAACAAACCAAAGAAGTGACTAACTTTTCAGACTGAAGTAAAACCCCTCAACATTTGTCTTTTTTCTTCTCCTCTTCCAGTTCTTTTTTGTCTTTTTTTCTTTTGAGAGAGAGCAAAGTGGACAGATACTCTCAGAGGATGGAAAGAGCTGATTTGCGAGGAGGTGTTTTTCTCTCGCAATTAAGGTTCCAGCCGCCAAGTCGCCTAGAGAAACAAATAATTGACATCAGCAGTAATTTGCAGTCTCAGCGCCCTTTTTGCTCCTTTCCTCTCAGTTTTTATCTCTTTTTGGCAGCCAGTGGAGGTGTTTTGTGTTTACAATGGTAATTGTCTTATTTAAGCAATTCTTTCTATTATGAAAGAGTGCTTTGTAATTTGCAACCCGTGTTAATGAGGAAAAAGTCATCAAAATTATTACCTCCGTATGTGCACTATATACATGCCAACGCATAGTATATAATGCCTCAGTCATAGCACATCAGCAGCATATTCCAGCACATTGCAGTCAGACTGAACATCTGCATAGGCGTGTGAATGTTTGTTCACAGCAAAGATGCCAGTGTTGTTTTCTTGTTTTTTGACACCATCAGCAATGTGTCTCTTTTCCTTCCTTCTCTTTCTACTCTCTCTCGTTCTGTCTTCCAACACTCATTTTCATCCCACATTATCTCTTTCTCTGCACCATGTGTCTTTCACAAAGCCCTCTGCAAATCTGCCGATTCCTAGATTCCCAAATGTGCCAGTTTCCATTTTCCCAAATCCCCAAATTCCCTTTAATCCACTCAGTCTCTCCCAAACTGGCTTGCAATCCTGCGCATCAGAGTCGCTATTTAGAACAAATACGTTATCCAGTGCATTGTGTTTCCACACCAAATGGTGGATTAATTCCTTAATTTAGAGCATGATTAAGCTGTACATGACTATATAAGTTCAGATTTAATAAAGGAGCTCTTTTGTTTAGTCCTACATATGTAGAGCAAGTCAAGTGCGTTAGAACTGCAGATTTATTCTTTTACAGAAGTGTATGCATGCTGTACTGCAGTTGATCCATGTGAGAGTTAGAAGAGGGGGTGGACAGGAGATCAAAGCTACTACATCAGTTACTATATGTGGGGACCATCTTGGCCCCAAACTGCCCCAGGCAACTTATACAGCACTATATAGTCTCATTATTTGTCTCCCTTTGTTCTTGTTCCTCTGACTATATATAGTGACATCTGTTATAGCCTCTTTTAGAGTAAACTAAAGCAGAATTCTGAATTCTCAGATGCCACTAGATTTAAATATTTTATGTTTTTACAGGATGGAATTGATTTCCATAATTCCATAAAAATATTTTAATGTTTTGAAAGTAGTTTTGATCTGAAATATTATGAATTATTTGTATAACTTTTCTTATTCAATATATTTTCAAATGTAATTTATACCTGTGATGGCAAAGCTGATTTTTTTCAGCATCTGCTCCAGGCTTCAGTCTCACGTGAACCTTCAGAAATCTTTCTAATATGCTGATTTGGTGCTCAAGAAACATTTCTATTTAAACAGTTGTGCTGCTCACTGTTTGCGTGAGAATTAAGAAAATGCTCAACAGAACAGTGTTTAATTGAAATAGAAATATTCTGTAGCAATGTAAAAGTATTTACAGTCTTTTTTTGTTGTCCTTGTGGAATAAAAGTCTTAAAGGGGTCATATGATGCTGCTAAAAAGAACATTATTTTGTGTATTTGGTGTAATGCAATGTACTCCCGGCACGACGAGACAAAACCTATAAAGCCCATTATAAACGAGGAATTTGTTGCATCCAGTGGGGACATACTTACTGATTATAATGACTTATACTGTCTTTTTACGCGTTGCGTTGCATCACGCCGCGTAAACATAAAACCATGTCTGCATTTGTGATCGGAGAAATGACAAACAACAAGCGCTACCAACGAAACACACAGCGTCTCCACAACATGGCGGCGGCGGCAACAGCGAGAATAAAAGGCGCTATTTGGGCAGCGTTATGCAAATCTCCACACATCGTGACGTAGGTATGTGGGGCGTGTTAGAACGAGCTGTTTTAGGTAGGCGTGGTTAACTCTTAACTTTTATAAAGAATATCTCTTTGGATTTGAGACTTTAGTCTTTGCAACTTTACAGATCTTCTTTATGCACCAAGAGCTTGTAACACTCCAAAGCATCATATGGCCCCTTTATTTTAATGTCAAACATCAACTAACCCCAAACTTAAATTTTTGCCGTTATCTGTAGCAGTCATTAACGACATGGACATTTTCCTTTTTTTTTCGACAAACAAATGTGGAGCCTATTATTGTTATTATTAAAAGCCTAGTTCTTGTTTTGGATGCCCAAATTTATTTTCTCTTTTCTCTCGTTCTCGTCCGGTGGTTATGGCAGGGCTGAGTAAGCCTGGGGAGAAAGTAGCAGGACCTGTGGGAGTTGTTTGAAGGCTGGAGGCGGATGGTCAATCAGAGGCATGTGTGAGCAGGACTGATGGGTTGGTTTTAGCATGACTGTGCACTCTGCAGCCCACCTGATACTGTCACCAGCCTGTCTACTCACTCTTCTCTGTCAGATCGATTTGACCGAGAGAGAACACAAAGCCTACAGGATTTTCTCATTTTTTTAAGCAAAAAATAGATAAATTGATCAGTAAATCAA